CAAATGGGATATTTTTATGGAGTGTGCAGAAGTGAACAGAACCAATTGCATTAGCTCTTGGTGTTCCATATGTATTGGTATCGGGCCAATACATATTGGCCTAATATCAATATTGGTATTCCATGTTCCATATGTTTGGGTATTCCTCAAGGAGCAGGAAACTATAACTGAGGTGCATGCTGTGTAAAAAGTCAAGGCATTTGAATTGTGGTAAGGACAGCACATGGTGCAGCCTTGGGAAAGGCCCTATGATTCCCCCTTAGGCTGTGATTGAGGCAATGGTTTTACACAGACTGACCTGCAGCTGTTCCCAGGCAGTCTGTAGTACTGGGACAGGAGGAGAGAAGCACAGATCCAAACATGAGTTCTGAGCCCATCTCTCTGCTGCACACTGCCCCATTCTGAATATTCCTAGAGAACAGCCTGAACCACAGCTCTCCAGAGCGCAGGGTAGCAATTCAGAGTATCAGTTCCTATTTCTGCTTGAGGCAAACATGCTGGACTGGAAAGAGCAAAGGGGGTAGAAGCAGAAGGTGCAGTGCAGGGCACTTTTGTCTGTGGTCTTTGGAAGGAAAGAACCCACATGCTTTGCTTTGACAATTTGTGCAGTCTGTAGTTCTAGGAGGGTTTTTTCTAATTTGTTCTTGATGAAAGCTTTGCAGTCTTGAATTTTTCATTGTGCTCAAAAGGAAGAAAATGCCTGTCTGTAGCTGCTCTGAAAAACTAGGGACTGATTTATGTAAATTTTCAGCAGCCTTTTTTTTTTAATTTCACTTAAGGGTGCCTATAGAAGCAAAGGCGACCCCCGATGAAGGGGAGAGAATGATGCAGCTCACTCCGTCTTATCTGAAGGCTAATTAATCACTTTATTATATTATACACATTTCATCTATACAGAATCTGCCACACACTCACTCTGCAGACAACTGCACAGAACTGCACTCATCTCTGGACTCTCGTGACTGTCGTGACAGTCCAACACACTCTTGGCCCTAATAGCCCAAGGAAACAAAACATCCTCACTTTGGATAAACAATTTCCATATTGCATTCTATTTTGGCACAACACAGGCACAGCAAGTGATAAGAATTGTGTTTTCCTTTTCTGTGAGGTTTGGAGAATGTGAATCTCAGAAATACTCTTGGGAAGAATTGTGCCTTGATGCCAAATGTATTTGTTGGGGATTACACCCACTGGTTATTTCTAAATTGCCTTAGCTCTAGATACACGATCAGTATGTTTCATTTTGGTGTGCCGAATGTTATGTAAAAGTCTGCCTTGACAATTGTGCTTTGATTCTAGTTTGAGCTTTTAAGATTTTGTTTATTTTCTTGTGATTTAATGTTTCCATTGGCTTTTAAAGGAAAAGTTTTAAAAAGAAAAAATCTTGGCCTTCTGGGAAAAACAAAAGCAAGGGCGAAACCTGTTGGCAGGTAGGAACGGAATCATGGATTTGACCTTCTCCATGAAACAACAGGAAAAAGACTCTGGATCTTTTCTAATGTAAATCTGGGAAAATATCCTGGACTCAATATCAAGGACCATATTTAACAAAGCATTTAAAGCCAGTGTTTCACCTGACCTGTGTGGAAATGCTCTAAACTTGTCTTGTATCACCTGGAGGGGGTTGCAGCACTGTCTGCCTCTGGAAACTCTGGGATGGATGTTCTGTGCCTTGCTGAGCCAACAGCACATTGCTGTAGCTGTGGGTAACCAACCATTGGGGCTGGAACGGGATGGAGCTCTGACAGTGTGAGAACTGCTTTGTGCCTCTTGGGATTGCTGCTGGGATGTGGCACATAGTCCTGCACAGCAAGTGCCACGTGAAAGGGACTGTAAAAAACCAAACAAGTTTATTCCTTTCTCTGTGTGCCACAGAAAAAGCACTCAACAGGCCAGTCCCTGGCCCCATGGGAAGCGCAGCCTGGTTTCAGTAAGGGAAGACCTGTCTCTTGTCTCTGGTTGCTGTGATACCTCTTTGTTCCCAAGTCATCTCTGTGTTGTCCCAGGTAAGTCCTAAAGTCCCTCCTTTTGACAGGACCAGGAAATTTCTTGTTGATGTTTGCTTTACTTTTTAGGCAGTCACAAAGCACTGCTAAGATAAAAACAGGAGTGAATTTCAGGCAAACACAGATGCATGTTTGCATTGGGCTTGTGATCCTTCCTCTTGCGTTATTTCCTCCACCGAAACTGCTGGGTGGAATCTCAGGGGTGCACCACCATCAGCTGTTGTGTTGCTTCTGATGACTTCATCAGACACGATGGGAAGAAATGGAGCTTTTTCTCTGGCTTCAGGGGTGTTTGCAGTACCCCAGAGGACCCTGTGGTTTCCCTGCTGCTTTCACCCCTGTTGCTGAAACAGCTGTTGGAACCTGCTGTGCCTATTTACTGCCTGAGATACTTCTGTCTTTCTCTCCTGTTAAGCCATGGAGTGTCTTTTAAAAAAACCAAACCGGATCATCGCTATCTCCTTGCTCTTTGTGAGGGAGAAGTGCTCTTAACTACTGTCCCTCACAGCTGTGCTTCAGTCGAGCTGTTCTGTGGAAACCAAAAGCTCACGAAGGCTTCATATTTATTTTGTAGGCAAAGTTTTCTGCCTCAGATTACTGAGGTAATCCTCCCTTTGTTGGCAACTTCTTAGGTTGGTTTAGTTGCGACACAAAGCTTTGCTTTCTGGGAAGTCTTCACAGGTGTGTGGCAGTGCTAGGATGTCCCTATCTTCCTGTGTAACTGGTAGAGAGCCCTTTGGTGCATGCTAAAGAGCTGCTTGGGATAAGCTCTTACCAGGTTTAAGCAAATAATAAAATACGGGATGGCAAGCCATCAATAAATTGTTAGCAAGTCCTTTGCATTCAAGTCAGCAAATGATGACAGGGCACTTAGGAGCATTCATCTTCCTTCTTTAAAAAATTTCTAAAGAATTGGACGGGTAGTTTTTAGAAACGGATGTTACCACAAAGGGAAGGGAAATAACTATATGAGTAATTCAGGAAGTCAGTAACCCTCACCACCTAATTTCTTTTATAACCAGGTTTTTTTTGCACAAGGTAGTGAAGAGCAGCTCACCAGCTGGAAATCCAACATTCAAATCCAAGTTTCATCCTTACAGGAAGAAAAAATGACCTAGGGACTTGTCTGTATTTAAACATTGCAAAGTACTCTATATGAGGTAGAACCGACAGGGTTTGGGGGGCTGGGGCTGCAGGGCTCACCTGTGTGGAAAGGGGCCATGATTCCAGCTGGTTCCAACCAGCTCCAAACTAGACAAACCCAGCCCATTGCACACCAAAACCACAGCTGGTCAGAGCAGCACACTCTGCCTCTGCTTGAAGATTTTGAAGAAAGGGTGGAAGCTGTTAAGGACAGGATGGTGGGGTCTTGCTGTTTCTTGCAGCTGTATGCGCAGAAAGTGTGTGTTACCCTTTCAGAGTCCCAAGGAAAACAGAGGGTCCCAAGGGAAGCGCAACTGACTGGGAGGTGGCTGCTCCCTGGGCTGCTGGCCAGGTGATGTGTCAAGTAGTGTAGAAACATTCCAAAGTGGCCGGTCTGAGAGGCTGAAGGTGTCTTGGAAAAGTCGTAGAACAATAAGGCTTTTGTTCAATAGAGGGGGAAAGAAAATGAGAGAAAAAAATTCTCAGCAGAGAGTTTTCGTCTTGTTTTCAACTGAAGAGCAATTAATCTGAAATGGAAAATTCTGTTATCGAGCTAACCCATAGCTTTCTTCAGGAGGCATAATCTGTTACACTATGCACATTTCTGGTTTGTCTGACAGAATTTTTTTAATTGTTGAATTGTATTGAGCAAACTTTTACCAAAAGACAAACAGGGATTAAAGCAGAGGAGACACTAAAATGTTCTGCATCTTTCAGACAACTTTATCTCTTTCTTCAAAGAATATGTTCCTTATGAATTATTTCTGGATTTTTAACTTTATTAAGAGCCAGGCACTTCTGAGAAAAGTGTTGCCACACTGATGGCAGTGCCCTTCAATGAAACTGTGTGTTTATACAGCTTATTTCATGCCATGTCTGTTGTCCTTGGGCTCATCAAGGTTAGCTGATACGTGGGTACTGTGCCTCAAGGGGGAAGCCAGGGGTGGGGCTGGAGATGCAGAACTGGCTAGTGCAGCAGAAGAGGAGCATGGAAGGATCAGGAAGGTAATCCTGAATCTGGTTTCCTGGGAAGTGACTGAAGGATGGTTATTTTCTCTGTGCTGCCTAAGAGCTCTCCTGTACCAGGAGCTCTTGTGTTGGGGGCATCCAGGACACACAGTAAGGGGTAATGCACCATAGGGTTATTTTCCCCTTTTTTCTTCTCCTCTTTGTTTTGTCGTCCCTTCTCTTGGAAGCCATGGTGCAAAGATTCTTGTGGGAAAGTGCTGTTTACTGTCTTAATCTGATATATGCTGAGGACTGAGCTCTGCCTAGGGCTGATTTTTCTTCATCAGGAGAGAAGAGGGGAAGTAGAGCTCTCCCCATGCTTTGTTTGGACATGCCATTTATGAACATCATCCCTTTATAGATACTTCAGGGTTATCTCTCTCAAGTGATTGTGACCATTCCCTTGTTCACTTGGCTTGTGGTCTCTGGTTTTTGCTTTATAACCATTCCTGGAAATCAGATGAACAGGCAGAGTCCAGAAGAGAGAACTGCAGAAGGAAGTCACTCAGCTGCACCCTGCCATTACAGCACAAGCTGAGATCTTGACATTTAAACTTGTGTATAATGATGAAGCCAAACAGCATCCTGTAATATGCTGGCAGAGGTACAAGAAGTATAAAGCACTCTTCAAAATGGCATCTATCACCAGATGGAAAATTAAGTAGGCACATGAAGTCTGGCAAGTTAAATATGGCAACACCATGAGACTATAGAAACACTGTTTGAAAACAATTTCCAAAAGGTAGTAAAGCTACCAATATTATTAATTCTTTTTTTTTTCCAGTTGCAGAAGGAACATGAAGCCTGCTAGTGGGGCAGAAGGTCGGTAGGGAATGAGACTGAAAGGGAGTTCAGAGATCACTTTGAAACAATTCAGAATTAATTTCTGCATCTGGCTACAGGTAAGAGGAATTTGGGGATGCTGGGCCCTGCTGTTTGTGAACAGAGAAGGGTTGGCGGGAGATGTAGTGGTTGGAGTCTGTCTTAGGCATAGTGGTCTTGAAATGAGAGTTTTCAATTCTTGAAGAAGTATGGAATGGAGTCACGAAACTTCTTCTTTGGATTTCCAGGCTTTGGCCTGCTCAGGGTTGAGGCAGTCCCTTGGGAGGCAGTTTTGAGGGACACTGGGCATTCCTCAAGAACAACATCTGAAAGGCACAGGAACAGGCCAGCCCAATGTGCCATAAGACAAGCCAGCAGGGAAGAAAACTGGCCTGGATGAACAGGGAGCTTTTGCTTGAACTCAAGGGGAAAAAAATATTTACCAGTTTGGGAGAAGGGACAAATGGCTCAGGAAGATTACAAGAGTGTCATTATGTTATGCAGGAAGAAAGTCAGAAAGGCCAAAGGCCCAGCTAGAATTTCATTTGGCAAGTGTCACAAGAGATAGCATATTTATTTTTTCCAAATATATTAATAACACAGAGCCAAGGACACTCTCCATTCTTTATTACATGTGAGGGGATTACATGTGATTCTCCATCCTTTATTACATTGCCACCAAGGATGAGGAAAAGGCTGAGGTACTTGATGCTTTCTTTGCTTCAGTCTAACTGAAAGGCTAGTTATTATCAGGGTGTCAGGCCCCCTGAGCTGGGAGATAGGGACAGGATAACACCCCTGTAATCCAGGAGGAAACAGTGACCTGATGTTCCACTTAAAACTGCACAATCTGTGGAGCCAGTTGGGATCCACTCAAGGGGACTGAAGGATCTGGTGGACAAGCTCATGGAGGTGCTCTTCATAATTTACTGCAGCCCTGGTGAACTGGGGAAGTCCCAGAAGACTGAGGGTCAGCCAATGTGATATCCATCTACAAGAAGGCTGAAAGGAGGATCCGGAGAGCCGCAAGCCCATGAGCCTGACCTTGGTACCAAGGAAGGCTGTGGAACAGATCATACTGTGTGTGACCAACCAAGTGGTCAGGCCCAGCCAGCACATGTTCATAAGAGGAAGGTCCTGCTTAACAAACCTGATCCTACAAATTTCTGACTGTTTAAGTATAACAGCAGTACTGACCATTTTCCCTTCATCTAGGGCTACTCCTTATTGTATTCAGGGAGGCTGATTGAAATGTAATGACATTGCCATGTCTGGCTATCTGATTTTCTGTTTGTGGCCTTTGCTTAGGTACCTCATTGATAACTCTGTTGCAAATAACAGAGCCTGTAGATACTTTTTCTGGACAGCCTCAGTGAGATGCCATCATATCTGTGGCTGCTTTGTGTACAGTGATCTGGGAATCAGCAGCTATCAAAACTGCCACGTCATTACTTTCCACAATCTTTTTGGGGTTTTTTTTTTTTTTTCGTTTGGTTTTGGTTTTTTTTTGTTTTGTTTTGTTTTTTTTTTGTTTTGTTTTTTTGTTTTTGGTTTTTTGTTTGTTTGTTTGGGGTTTTTTTTGTGGTTTTGTGTTTTGTTTTTGGTTGTTGTTGTTTTGGTTTTGGGGTTTTTTTTTGTGGTTTTGTGTTTTGGTTTTGGTTGTTGTTGTTTTGGTTTTGGGTTTTTTTTGTAGAAAGTTGCTAATCTCATTCTCCTGCTCTTTGCTCTGGCTTGCTTTCAATGCATCTTATCCCACAGGGTATCTATCCAGCACTTCATTACAGCTATAAAAGAGGGTGTGTACACTTTCTTTTATGTCAGGAGAAAACATAGTTCTAAACCCACTCTGAGTGAATTGGATATTGCAGGGTTCATTCTGAAAAGGTGAAGTCATGATACATACAGAAGATGCAGTTAAGAGACAGGTGCCTTAAATGTCCTCTGCCTTCAGCTGCAGTATTTTATTGGTCTAATATACTACATTTACAATATGTGCTCTCCTCTTACCTCAAACATTCACACGTGCTTGGTCTGCTGTCCTCTCTGGGTTCAGGAGAAGGAGCTCTAAAGCCCTTGGTAAAATGCTAAAAAGTAATTGCCCTAAATACTAGGGGAATTTGCTGGTGGATGCATCCCTGTTGGACACCACTCTGTGTTTTTATGCCTAGCAGCCTGATTAATTACTTACTAAATGCTATTAGTGTCAAATCTCACTTCTTCTACTCTCATTAGTAATGTAAATCTGGAGAAAACTCAGATCTTCAGCTGTTTTCTGGTGGGTCCCTAAAATACTTGTATCAGGCTGCTTGTGATGTGTGATATTTATTGTTCCAGACCCTCAGCAGCTACCTAGGTATGCAAAGGTCTGCTGGACCTTTTCCCCTCCTCTCTGCTTTTTGCTACCAAATTTGTAGTAAATTTACAAACACCCCCTCAGGTGTTTTGCAGTTCCTATGTCCACACATTTGCTTGAAAGGACATCACTAAACTAAAGGGTATTTGGTTAGTTCCCCTGAAGACAACAGAGGCTGCCATAAACACTTTTTGCAAGGCTAACCTGTGTTGCTGTGTTTGTGCTGGATGTACATTTAAACATAGCTTTTATAGTTTAATGCCATGAAGTAGTTGAAGTCTTGATAAAAATACACAACAACAAGCAGTAATAAAACAAAGAAGGTAATTAAGGTATACCACAGTGTACTTTCGTTTAGCCCATGAAGACTGGATGCTCATGACAAATTCTGGCTGATCTCTACCAGATCCTCCAGCCAGCCCCAGGCTAGACTCTTTCAGTGCTGTATCCCTTGCTGCAAGAGCTGCCACTCTGCTTTGCTACCCCAGCAGTACTTTCCCTAAACCCAGAAGAATATTTTTAGTGCCCAGAACTGCCGGAATGACGGTTGACTTGGCCACAAGAGAGCCCAGCTATTGTGTGAAATTGTTGGGATCAACCAAAGCATCTTGCCCAACATGCAAAACCATCTCTAAATAGTTTCTCTGCATGTTCCAAGGTACAACAAAGAATTACACTGCAAATCCATTTTAGTTTATAGTATATCATGTATCTGTAGATACACATATATTTGCTAATAGTTAGATCATCCCTTTGCACCCTTTTTCCTGTAATTTTCTGTTAATTTGCAGGCCTATCCAGCTTCATAGGCTAAATCTCCTAATTACCTGGGTATAAGCTGTATCAGTTGAATCCTAGAAGGGAAACAATAGTGAAGTCCTTATTGAGATACTCCATTTATATTCTGTCTTTGAAACAACACTTGCACTTCTGTCATATGGACAACTGTAGTTTTCCTGTAATCATCTGATCACCTCTGGCTAAAACACTTAGTTTTACTTGATACAGTAAGATTTAGGCCTGGAGGTTTTGTGAACTTCTGCAGAATTCATACTCTGAGAATTACACAATTCTAATGTAATTATGTAAAAACAATCCTAATTGCTTTCAGTGCAAAAGTGAGAATGTAACATTTTGTTCTCTGACATCACAAATGCATGATCCTAAAGAATTTTTAGAGTTCATTTCTTCCATTTGTTATCACTATTTCAACTGTCATATAAATCATATGATGTTTTATAAGAATATCACTCAGTAATGAAGTTTTTTTCTTATTAGAAATGACTTTCCAGGTTTCAGGGACTTCTGAATATCTACTGTTTGAAAAGTTAAGGATTGCAGGAATGCAGGATGCTTTTTTTGCTTCATGTAAGTTGGCTTCATGGACAATTGATGTTGTACCATCAGTCAGTTGTTCAATTATCATCTCGTTTGGGTTGTTTCCCTTTTTTGCTGTCTGTAATTTTGCTACCAAGGAAATGTCAGTGAAGCACTGTTAGTCATGTAGGGCAGGAAATCACTTTCCTCAGGGCAGGATGGGCTAAAAGTAGGCATGAGCATGTGCAGATCCATCAGCAGCAGACTGGTGGCAGTCTTTACATGGTAAAGTTACAAGATAATCTGTGGTGGCAGTCCTGCATCTGTTTCCTTTGTTTTATCCCTTTTGTGCTTGGAACAAGGCATCCTTGATGATATTTTTATATTAGGGTTTACATTGTGCAGTGAGGTGTCTCTTTGCATTTTGCAATTTTTGTTTGGACACATTTTTTGTTTGCATATTCAAACCTTGTATTAGTTAACTTAGCTTGTAAATTTAATAAGCAAGGCCATGAAAATCATAGGCAGCATTTTGATGGAAAGCACCTGGGCAGAAAAGGGCCTGTGGTCCCCTGGACCACCAAGCTGACCAGGAGCCACCAGATGATGGAGAAGGAAGACTTGCTCACCATATGATGATCGACAAGTCTCGTCTTTATTCCCGAATCACCGATTATTATACACCTTTTAATTAGCTCATGCATAGTGCAAAATCCCAGCTCACCATTGGCTAATTAGTTATCAGCTATCTACGTGCTGTTTTGGTATAACTACTTATTACTTTCCCAGGCTGTCCCGCTCCACCACCTGTCTCTGTGTATTTCTTCATCCGTGGGCCAAGGACACAGTTTAATTGGAATGGCAACTCCCCTCATTCTCTATCTTTGTCAAATTAATCTCACTGTGAGCTTTAGCTCGGAGCCAGCTTGTTACAAAGCTCTCAACAACCAGATGCCCTCACAGCCTATAGAGCATGGCCTGCAAGTTCATGGGGGGTGATCTTTGCCCACCACTCAGCACTGGTGAGACACACCTGGAGGGCTGGTTCTGGAATCCCAGGATGAGGGAGGCGTGTCCATACTGGGGCAAGTCCAGCAAAGGGCCACTAAGGTGAGAAGGAGACTGGAGCACACGGTGCAGGAGGAGAGGCTGGGAGAGCTCTGCTGACCTTTCTTGGACTAGAGCAGGCTGGGCTGTCTGGTCAGGGTGTACAAACACCTGGCTGAAGGTGGGTGGGTGGAGGACACAAGTGAGACTCTCCTCTGTTCAATGCAGAGATGGCAGGAGTCACAATGGGCACTCCTTGAAGTGTGGCAAGTTAGAACGAAAGGAAGGGTGGTGAAACACTGGATCAGGTTGCCCAGAGTGGTTGTGGAGTCCCTGTGCTGGGACAAGGGTTGTCATGAGTCCATCCATGGTGCTGCTCCGCATGGAAGGATTTGGGGAGAGGAGAGGGGTCTGGGACACTACAGAGCAATATTTGTTTCAGGCAGCTGAAGAGGAATTGCAGTAGACCCTAAATTTAGTGGCTGTACTGACAAAGGAGGGATTTTATGAATGTGCCAGCCATGTCTCATGCAAGGAAAGGTCAGCCACCCTTGATCACAGGGGCAAAGGGGAACTGTCATAGAATGAGGGACACCTGAATGTGGCAAAGTCCTTCAGTGAGGTCCCTGGCATATGAGGGAGTATTCCCTAATGAACAAGTAAAGCATTTGGTCAAAAGAGCATGTTTCCAAGGGGGCATTCTGTACTTAGGGCTTGGGGTGGGAGCAGGCAGCTCTATGGAAGGCTCAGCTTAGTTATCATGGCAGCCCCAGCAGCAGCGTGAGGGCTGGGAATTCTTAACAAAGCAAGAGAAAACAAATCGAGCCATTTTCCCACCAGTCTAAAGCTCAAAGCAACAGTGGGGTTTCAATTTCCTCCTTTTTTTTTTTTATTGTTTAATTACTTTTTAACTAACTGGTTTGTTCACGGTATATCTGTGTGACCTTTGTATCAACTGCTCATTATGGATAAATGATGTCGCATCCTACCCTTTTTTTCCTCATTGTGCTCACTGTTCCTCTTCATAAAAAGCAAGTGCCACACCATAGAGCTGCAGTCATCCTCACAGACTTTAATTTCTGAAACATCCTTTCAGCAGAGCAGGGAATTCTGTGGTGTCTTGACAGCAGGGACAGGTGAGTTTTGTGCCTTCTCTACTGCACCAGTTCTGTCCCACCATGTCTGTGCTTGTTTGTCTGCTATAGTTCAAAAAATTATTTACAGGGTTAACCCAGCTGTAGTGTGTGGAGGGTGGTGAATGTAAAGGGGTCTGTAAAAGGCAGGGTGAGCTGGGTTTTGCTTCCTCTAGCACTAGCAGCACATGCTGGCATTTCTGTGTGGGAGGAGAAAACTTTACCACAATCCAGAGCTGATCATTTGTGTATTGGCTGCCTCTCCTCTGTCCCCCAAGTCCCAGTGCCTTCCATTACGATGCCTCCCAGTGCCTCTAAGAAGCCATGAGAAGTTCCATATGTGATCCAGGTGCAGTGATCAAGGGAGAAATGACAAATGCGATTGTGCCAGCTGAGTTCCCTGTCCTGTTCATGGTTTGTTTGGGTTCCTCCTCCCAGAGTTATTTGCATATGTTTCATGTTCAGAATGACTGGAAATTCTAGAGGGTGACAGATGAGTTCTCGAATGGTGTTCCCAGAGTTTGTTGTGCATCGCTATGTAGGTGGGACACACACCTATGAAGGAAGGCTCATATTCTGCTGCCTCATCTGTCAGGTTTTTTCTTTCCTTCCCTTCAGGCTGTCTCGGGAGAGCGGGCTCTGGCTGGAGAGAGAATGCTTAGGACGCCCAGCTGCCTCCTAAAAGTGACCAGGGTGGTGCTGAGCCACAGGCTCTGTGCCCTGTTTATCCTCATCTTTGTGTTCGTATCCTTTGCCTACCACAAGTTGTACTGGGGCAGCTGGGAGGACCCAAAGAGCAGCGGCCCCACCTACAGCTTGTCTGCTGAGATCAGCTGTGCTCACTACGTGCCTTCTCCCCTTGACATTGCTGGTGGACCTTCCACAGGAAAGGTGTTTTTTGTGGAGACCTCGGAGCAAACTGCCCCAGGTTACCTGTTCTCGTGCTCTGTGGAGTCAGCGGCCAGGACACACCCCACATCAAGGGTCATGGTGCTCATGAAAGGCGTGGCCAAAAGGAACGCCTCCTTGCCCAAGCACTGGGCTTTCTCCTTGCTGAGCTGCTTCCCCAACGTGGAAATCCAGCCCCTGGACTTGACAGAGCTCTTTTCTGGAACACCTCTGGCACAGTGGTTCCTGCAGCCTCAGCGGCAGCAGGAACCTCATTTTTTACCGGTCCTCTCTGACGCCTGCAGAATTGTCCTCATGTGGAAATTTGGTGGCATCTACCTGGATACAGACTTCATTGTGCTTAAGAACTTGCAGAACCTCACCAATGCCCTTGGCATTCAGGGTGACGGTGTACTGAATGGAGCCTTTCTATCCTTTAAAGCTAAGCACAAGTTCATGGAACTTTGCATGAGGGACTTTGTGGAGGACTACAATGGCTGGGTCTGGGGGCACCAGGGCCCAGAGCTCCTAACTCGTGTCTTCAAGAAGTGGTGCTCCATCCGGACTATCAAGAGCATGAGCTGCAAAGGTGTGAGTGCTCTTGCCCGAGAAGTTGTTTATCCTATTCCCTGGCAGGACTGGAAGAAGTTGTTTGAGGCAGTCAGTGCCTCGGAGCTTCAGAAACTCCTTAAGAACACCTATGCAGTGCACATATGGAACAAACTGAGCCACGGGACCAAGTTAGAGATCCCCTCCCAGGCTCTGCTGGCTCAGCTCTATTCCCAGTTCTGCCCTGCCACCTATGCAAAGATGAAACAGGACTCTGAAGAGTTGTCAAAGCGTGCAGTGTGACCTGGGGGCCCATGGCTGCAGGGATGTTCCCCAGGCTGAAGGAAACCGAGTGCCTTTGACCTTCCCCAGAGTTGGTTTCTAGTCCGCAGAGCAGGTGTTCTGTGTGACAGCTCTGTGGTTTTGTACCTGATATTCCTGATATCTGCCTCAGATCCTTTGTGTTTCAAATTTACAGCAGTACCTGACTTCAGCCTCTCTTGCTGTCCTCCACAAGACTTGTCACTGCAGGGAAGATTGAACCCATTCATCAGCATCCCTCAGCTGGTCCTCTCTTGGTGTTCTCCAATGGCTCCTCCGGTGACGCCCAGCCTGAGCAGCCCCTTGTGATGTTTCAACAGCTGTAGGAATCCCTGCTTTGCTCTCTGTGGCATTTTTGAATTTGTGAATGACTACCAGGCAGTGCCAAAGGGCACAGATTGCTGGGGCTTGGAACAGAATTCCCTGGCAGGCAAAGATCCTTACATGTGGGGAAACACATGATGAGTATATGAAATTTACTTTAAGAAGCAGAAAAGAGTTTAGATCCCAGTGTGTCTCAGTGTGAAGTTGTTGTAAACTTCTGCAGTGTGAAAAGTTCCACTGATGCTCCCTACTGTTTTTAAATCCACAGCAGTGGGATGACTTGTCTCAGACTCCTCTGGAAAATAAATAGACAAAAGCAGATCTTTGAGGAGCAGAAGTTATGAATATCCTTGCTCTGCTGAAGTAGTTCTTGTAGGATACCAACATCTAAGCAACCATTGTCACACTCTGAAGGGGCTCAGCATTTCCTGCTTCTGCAGTTCTGTGGGGAGGATTACATCCTTTTCATTGGAATACTGAACACAATGTGGAAGTCCAGAAGGCAACATGTCCACATCAACAGAAGGACCAGATGCAGGACTCAGAGCGGTGTCCCCAGGAACAAAAATAAAAAATCAGAAGTACATGAATTTTGGAAAAGACCTCTAAGATCAGGGAGTCCAACCTTCAATTCAGTATCACCATACCCACAGGCCTTTTATCCCAAAGTGCCATGTGTACTTATTTTTTGGAACACTTCCAGGCATAGTGACTCCACCACTTCCCTTGGGAGCCTGTGGCACACAGTTCTTAAGCACTCTGAAATTCTTGTATCCAACTGAACCTACCATGGTGCAGGGAGTTCTGCATTCAGCTCTGGGATCCCAGCACAGGAAGGGAGCTGCTGGAGCCAGGCCAGAGCAGGGACACCAAGGGCATCAGAGGGATGGAGCAGCTCTGCTGGGAGGAAAGGCTGAGGGAAGTGGGAGTGTTCAGCCTGGAGAAGAGAAGGCTTTGGGGTGTGACCTCAGTGTCGCCTTCCAGTGTCTGAAGGGAGCTTAAAGGAAAGATGCAGAGAGACTCTTGACAAGGGCCTGGAGTGGCAGGACGAGAGGGAATGGCTTCACACTCAGAGAGAGCAGGTTTAGGTTGGATAATGAGGAAGAAATTCTTGCCTGTGAGGGTGGTGAGGCCCAGACACAGGTTGCCACTAGCAGCTGTGGCTGTCCCTGGATCCCTGGAAGTGTCCAAGACCAGGTTGGACAGGGATCAGAGCAACCTGGAATAGTGGAAGGTGTCCTTCGCCACAGCAGGAGGGGTGGAACAAGATGATCTTTAGCGTCCCTTCCAGCTCAGGCCATTCTATTGATTTCCCCTCATCCTGTCCCTTGGATCCCCTGGGAGCAGAGCCTGACCCCCACCTGGCTGCAGCCTCCTTTCTGGGAGGTGTGGAGAGCAACAGGGCTCTCCTGAGCCTCCTTTTCGTCCAGGTTAAACACCCCAGCTCCCTCAGCTGCTCCTCATCAGACTTGTGCTCCAGCCCCTTGCCCAGCTCCATTCCCTCCTCTGGACACACTCCAGCCCCTCAATGTCCATCTTGCAGTGCCAAAACCAGGACAGGAGGTGGCCTCACTGGGGTGACACCTCCCCAGTACCCATGACAGGGGGACAGTCACTACCCTGGTCCTGCTGGCCTCACCATTGCTGACCCAGCCCAGCAGCCATTGGCCTTCTTGCCCACCTGGGCATGCACTGTGGAGTTGCAGGCCCAGGCCCTTTCCTGCTGGGCTCTTCCCAGCCACTCCTCCCCAGCCTGGAGCTGCTGGGGGTTGTGACCCAGGGGCAGTAGCCAGCACTTAATATCTTGTTCAGCCTCAAGGATATGAAACAGGACTGGCTCTGACACTGGGCCCTGGGGCACAGCACCCGTGACCTGCTGCCAGCTGGATTAATTCCACCACTACTCTCTGGGCCCAGCCATCCAGGCAGTTTATTCCCAGCAAACAGGGAACCTGTTAAATCCATGGGCTGCAAGGACAATGCTCTCCAGGAGAGCGCTGTGGGAGCAGTGATCAAGGCTTTACTGAAGGCCCAGGTACACAACCTCCACAGCCTTTCCCCATCCATTGGGTATTCATAGAAAGAGGTTGGGTCAGTCTAGTAGGATGTGCTTGAACTCCTGCTGGCTAGGCCTGATGCCCCAGTAGTGCAGCACACATCATGTCATTGTACTTTAGGTAATCTGTTCCATACCCTTCCCTGCCACCGAGGTCAGGCTGACGGGCCTCTGGTTCTCCCAGTTGTCCTTCCAAGCCTTCTCATAGAGGGGTGTCACCCTGACCAACCTCCTGTCAGCCAGGAGCTCTCTAGTTCACCAGGACTGCTGACAAACGATGGAGAATGGAGCTTTGTGGGCTCCTTCACCAGCTTCCAGCAGAAGGATGGCATCTCCATAGACTTGTGCATGTCTGGGCAGCACAGCAGCTCACTTACAACTTCCTCCTGCAGTGTGGGGACTTTGTTCTGCTCCCTGTTTCTGTCTTGTAGCTCAGGGGTCTGGATGTGCAGAGGGTAACTGGGCTTTTGGTTAAAGGCTGAGGTCAAGAAGGCATTGTGTACCTCAGCCTTTTTCCTCATCCCTGGAGGTTGTGTTCCCACCCCAGCATGCAATAAAGGATGGAGAATCTCCTTGGCCTCTTTTTGTTATTAATGCATTTGGAAAAGCACTTTTTCTTAACTTTTATGCTGGTGGCCAGATTGACTTTTACCTTTCTAGTTTCCTCTCTGATTAACATCATGACATAACATCCTTGTAGTCTTCCTGAGATGCCTGACCCTTTTTCCAGAGCTGCTCAACTCTCTGTTCTTCCCCAAGTCCCAGTGGAAGCTTGCCAGTCTTCCAGGCCAGCCTTCCCTGAACCAGCTTATGGCACATTGCAATGGGCTCCTCCTCCACCTCTATGACCTTCTTCCTGAGGAACGTCCACCTTCCTGGGCTCCTTGGCCCCTCAGGATGGCCTCCTAAGTGATTCTCTCAATCTGTGGTCTTAACAGACCAAAGCCTGACCTCCACAAATCCAAGGTAGTTGTTTTGCTGACCCCCTTCCTCCTTCTTCCCTCCCTTCACTGAGAACTGAAATCAAATCATGTCATGGTCACTGTACCCAAGATGGCCTCAGGCAACCTCATCTCCCACCGGTGCTCCCCTGTTTGTAAACAGCAGATCCCCTGGGACACTGCCTCTGGTGGGCTTGCCTGCCAGCTGTGTCAGCAAGTTCTCTTCCACACGCTCCAGAAACCTCCCGGAGTGTCTCCTGTCTGCTGGGTGGGATTCCAGCAGACACCTGGTAAGTTGAAGATGTCACTGAGGTTGTAGGCAGTGGATGATGTGGGGTCATCCATCTACCCCAAATGCAAATCCTTGCCCACCACTCAGCACTGGTGAGACACACCTGGAGGGCTGGTTCTGGAATCCCAGGATGAGGGAGGCGTGTCCATACTGGGGCAAGTCCAGCAAAGGGCCACTAAGGTGAGAAGGAGACTGGAGCACACGGTGCAGGAGGAGAGGCTGGGAGAGCTCTGCTGACCTTTCTTGGACTAGAGCAGGCTGGGCTGTCTGGTCAGGGTGTACAAACACCTGGCTGAAGGTGGGTGGGTGGAGGACACAAGTGAGACTCTCCTCTGTTCAATGCAGAGATGGCAGGAGTCACAATGGGCACTCCTTGAAGTGTGGCAAGTTAGAACGAAAGGAAGGGTGGTGAAACACTGGATCAGGTTGCCCAGAGTGGTTGTGGAGTCCCTGTGCTGGGACAAGGGTTGTCATGAGTCCATCCATGGTGCTGCTCCGCATGGAAGGATTTGGGGAGAGGAGAGGGGTCTGGGACACTACAGAGCAATATTTGTTTCAGGCAGCTGAAGAGGAATTGCAGTAGACCCTAAATTTAGTGGCTGTACTGACAAAGGAGGGATTTTATGAATGTGCCAGCCATGTCTCATGCAAGGAAAGGTCAGCCACCCTTGATCACAGGGGCAAAGGGGAACTGTCATAGAATGAGGGACACCTGAATGTGGCAAAGTCCTTCAGTGAGGTCCCTGGCATATGAGGGAGTATTCCCTAATGAACAAGTAAAGCATTTGGTCAAAAGAGCATGTTTCCAAGGGGGCATTCTGTACTTAGGGCTTGGGGTGGGAGCAGGCAGCTCTATGGAAGGCTCAGCTCAGTGTTCTAGGTTGTGAAGGACAGAGTTTTTTAGGAAGTTGTGGTCAAAACCAATCAGTGGTCACATTTGAATATTGGCACCTTGTGTGGCCTCTGAAGACATGGACCGCCTCTGAGGACACAGTGTGTTAAAAAGCAGAGAACGCCCAGGGGAACTCTCTTGGTTCTGGTCAGTGAAGGAGCTCAGAGCTCCCCTGCCCAGCTGGGGCTGGCTGGGGGAGGGAAGCCATGTGGCCGGGGTGAGGTAGGCCGGAGCCTTGGGCAGAAAAGGGAGGTGAAGGCCTTGCAGGATGGAAGGGTGGAGGAGCCCTGAGAGGCATCGGGCAGCCCCCCTGGGGTAGAGAGCAAGAAAGCGCTTCTGGATCCGTGCTACCTTGAAATCTATTATCATGTGCTGGCAGCACGGCCAGGCCAAGAAGAAGGGGGTTGCAGCACGAGAAGTTTCCTATCAGCCATGGGAGTTCTGGGCAGGCAGACCCCAAGATTTTAACCCTTTTCTGGGATAATGCAAACCTTACAAATACTGATCCTCCTGGATCTAGATTAGAAGAGAGAGAGAGATAGATGAAACAGGAGGAAATGGCCAAGTGTGATGCAAGTTTGTGCAAGTGGAAGATGTCAGAAGAAGTTGAGAAGAATCCTAGGTGGGAGGAGATGATCGAGTGGCCTTTGGCTGGACTCTTCTTGTATAGCCATGGACACACCCATTTTTCCTGTGACACAGTGCATTTAGGGGGAGGCAATGCCTTGGAGCCAAGAGAGTGCAGTGATGCTGTGGGAAGCAGTAGCATGAACAGAGACAGCTGAGGAGGGTGTGGTGATGCCCTGTGTCTTCAGTGAAGAATGAGATCTCTGATCTTGAGACACCTTGGCCCCAGGGGGTGAATTTGGGGACGACTGGTGTTCCAAAAGTGAGAGACTGTTGCTTTTTTGGAATTGGGTGGAGCATCCTTAAAAGGGGAACCCTAAAAGCAGTTCTGGTCCATGTGCAGTGGTGAGAGCACTGGACATGGAAGGAAGAAGTCATGAGGGCAGATGTTCTCTGAGCAGTGCCACAAGTGACATGGAAACACAAGAGGTTTCAATTGTGTTTCTGGGGGAAGCCTATGGTACAAGACAGACTCCTCTCTCCTTGATGAACTGAAAGTTGATTACCTGAGGGGTGGTGATGGATTGAGAGTTGATTATCTGAGAGGTGGTGACTGGATTGAAAATCTAAGGTCTTATTTTATGTTGTGGTGGAAACTGGGGGAAGGAGGAGGAATGGTTTAGAAGGTTTTCATTCTGAGTTCTGTGTCTCTTCCTTTTTATATATTATAGTTAATAAAGTTTTTTTTTTTCTTTATTCCTAAGTTGTACCCTGCTTTGCTCTATTTCTGGTTATATCTCACAGCAGTCACTAAGGAGAATATATTTTCATGGGGGCACTGGCATGCACCAGTGTGAAACCATGACACTCAGTTATCATGGCAGCCCCAGCAGCAGTGTGAGGGCTGGGAATTCTTAGCAAAGGAGGAGAAAACAAATCGAGCCATTTTCCCAGCAGTCTAAAGCTCAAAGTCTAGCAACAATGGGTTTTCAATTTCCTCCTTTTTCTTTATTACTTTTTAACTAACTGGTTTGTTCACGGTACATCTGTGACCTTTGCATCTGTTACTGGTTACATAAATGATGTTGCACCCTCCCCTTTTCTTTTCTCCTTATGTTCGGACTCCGTCTCTTACCGTTCCTTTTCAGAAGAAGGAGGTGTCAGACCATAGAGTTGTGGTCATCCTCACAGACTTTAATTTCTGAAACATCCTTTCAGCAGAGCAGGGAATTCTGTGGTGTCTTGACAGCAGGGACAGGTGAGTTTTGTGCCTTCTCTACTGCACCAGCTCTCTTCTGCCTAGTCTGTGCCTCTTTGCTGTCTACAGCTTTAAAAAGTATTTACAGGGTTAACCCAGCTGTGGTGTGTGGAGGCTGGGGAATGTAAAGGGGTCTGTAAAAGGCAGAGTGGGCTGGCTTTGGCTGCCTGTAGCACTGGCAGCATGTGCTGCCATTTCTGTGCAGGAGGAGAAAACTTTCTGGGGATCCAGAGCTGATCATTTGTGTATTGGCTGCCTCTCCTCTGTCCCCCAGTCCCTGGTGGCTCCATGCTCTGACATTTGGATGCCTCCCAGTGTAGCTGACAAGTAGTTTTTGGCCACAGGGGAAGCTCCATGTATGACCCAGGCACAGTGATCAGGGAGCAATGACAAATGGGACCGTGCCACCTGGGTGCTTTGTCGTTGTTCCCTGCCACTTTGGTTACAGCTGCTGGATTAAAGCTTTTCCTGTTTCCTGACCCTTTTTTCCTGGGGAGTGGGGCTTTGGATATGGAGGTCAGGGAGGCAGGTGAAATGATGGAATCCTTTAGGATGGAAAAGACCATTGAGATGCTTGAGTCCCACCCCAAAGCCCACTCTGCCAAGTCCACCACTAAACCAAGTCCCTAACTGCCACACCTATCTGTCTGTTAAATGGCTCCACTGCCTTCTTGGGCAGCCTGTGCCAATGCCTGGTAACTCTTCCAGGGAGTAAAATTCTGAGTAATGTCCACTCTGACCTCCCTTGGCACAACTTGAGACCATTTCCCCTGGTCCTAAAAGCCACAACCTTCCTCACTGCTCCTTCATGTGCTCTTCCCTGTTGACCTTTGGGGCCCAGTGGTGGGCACAGGAGATGCTGCTTCTGCTGCCCCTCGATTTAAGGAGAGACAAGGGCAGCAATGCTGATGCTAATGCTGAGGATGGAGCTAGACTGACTTATCTGTTTGTTGCTGCCTTGCTAATAACCTCTTCAACTCCATCTCTCCTTTTTGCCAGAAGAAGCAAGGAAGTAAGGGCAGGAGAGTGGAGGGATTGCCTGTGCACCAGCAGGATCCACTGAGAGAACTGAGCAAGGCAGAGCCAGAGTGGCCTGTGCAGGGTTGGGAAGCAGCCTTGGAACTCCCTTTACAACGGCATTTCTTGACCTTATTGTCTGCATCTGCTGCCAGAGCTGCCCTGCATCCATTCCTTTCCCAACCTCCATCCATCCTGCTAGGCTATGCTGCCATGAACAATGGGCCAGGCTCTCTGCAGGAGCAGGTGATTGGTTTGGAAAGGCAGTAACTGCCAGCTCAACAACTGGAAGACTGAGGCTTGTGTTTGGTTTGGGGGAAGGACACGTTGTGTATCAGAAGAAAACAACTCCCCTCATAATAACCAGCTGTCAGTGGGCAGCAGGTCCACACAGTGTCTGTTGACAGAGCTCCAGGAATGGTCATAAGGACCATTCCTATTTCCTCCTGCCAGGGCTTTGCATACGTGTCTCGTGTTGACAGTGACCTGAATTTCTAGAGGGTGACAGATGAGTTCTCTAATGGTGTTCCCAGAGTTTGTTGTGCATTGCTATGAAGGTGGGACACACACCTATGAAGGAAGGCTCATATTCTGCTGCCTCATCTGTAAAGTTTTCTCTCTTTTTCCTTCCCTTCAGATCATGACAGCTGTCTCGGGAGAGCAGGCTCTGGCTGGAGAGAGAATGCTTAGGACGCCCAGCTGCCTCCTAAAAGTGACCAGGGTGGTGCTGAGCCACAGGCTCTGTGCCCTGTTTATCCTCATCTTTGTGTTCGTATCCTTTGCCTACCACAAGTTGTACTGGGGCAGCTGGGAGGACCCAAAGAGCAGCGGCCCCACCTACAGCTTGTCTGCTGAGATCAGCTGTGCTCACTACGTGCCTTCTCCCCTTGACATTGCTGGTGGACCTTCCACAGGAAAGGTGTTTTTTGTGGAGACCTCGGAGCAAACTGCCCCAGGTTACCTGTTCTCGTGCTCTGTGGAGTCAGCGGCCAGGACACACCCCACATCAAGGGTCATGGTGCTCATGAAAGGCGTGGCCAAAAGGAACGCCTCCTTGCCCAAGCACTGGGCTTTCTCCTTGCTGAGCTGCTTCCCCAACGTGGAAATCCAGCCCCTGGACTTGACAGAGCTCTTTTCTGGAACGCCTCTGAAAGGGTGGTACTTATGGCCTCTGCGGCACTGGGAGCCTTATTTTTTACCGGTCCTCTCTGACGCCTGCAGAATTGTCCTCATGTGGAAATTTGGTGGCATCTACCTGGATACAGACTTCATTGTGCTTAAGAACTTGCAGAACCTCACCAATGCCCTTGGCATTCAGGGTGACGGTGTACTGAATGGAGCCTTTCTATCCTTTAAAGCTAAGCACAAGTTCATGGAACTTTGCATGAGGGACTTTGTGGAGGACTACAATGGCTGGGTCTGGGGGCACCAGGGCCCAGAGCTCCTAACTCGTGTCTTCAAGAAGTGGTGCTCCATCCGGACTATCAAGAGCATGAGCTGCAAAGGTGTGAGTGCTCTTGCCCGAGAAGTTGTTTATCCTATTCCCTGGCAGGACTGGAAGAAGTTGTTTGAGGCAGTCAGTGCCTCGGAGCTTCAGAAACTCCTTAAGAACACCTATGCAGTGCACATATGGAACAAACTGAGCCACGGGACCAAGTTAGAGATCCCCTCCCAGGCTCTGCTGGCTCAGCTCTATTCCCAGTTCTGCCCTGCCACCTATGCAAAGATGAAACAGGACTCTGAAGAGTTGTCAAAGCGTGCAGTGTGACCTGGGGGCCCATGGCTGCAGGGATGTTCCCCAGGCTGAAGGAAACCGAGTGCCTTTGACCTTCCCCAGAGTTGGTTTCTAGTCCGCAGAGCAGGTGTTCTGTGTGACAGCTCTGTGGTTTTGTACCTGATATTCCTGATATCTGCCTCAGATCCTTTGTGTTTCAAATTTACAGCAGTACCTGACTTCAGCCTCTCTTGCTGTCCTCCACAAGACTTGTCACTGCAGGGAAGATTGAACCCATTCATCAGCATCCCTCAGCTGGTCCTCTCTTGGTGTTCTCCAATGGCTCCTCCGGTGACGCCCAGCCTGAGCAGCCCCTTGTGATGTTTCAACAGCTGTAGGAATCCCTGCTTTGCTCTCTGTGGCATTTGAAATTTTCAGAGAATATTCTGTGTTGGAAGGGACTCACAGCCGTCATGTGTCCAACCCCTGGCTTTGGCTGGGGACAGCACACTCCCTCAATCCTGCCCTGTGCACGAGAATGTCATTCTTGGGACTGTGAGCCTTCCCCGGGGAGCCTGTTCAGTGCCCCACCACCTTCTGGGGGAAGAACCTTTCCCTGATATCCACTTTAACCATCCCCTGACACAGCTCCAGCCGTTCCCTTGGGTCCTGTTCTTGGTCACACAGAGCAGAGATCAGGTCCTGCCCCTCCTTTTCCCCTTGTGAGGAAGCTGCAGAACTGCTGTGATCTGTGACTTCAGTCTGCTCTTCTCCAGCTGTACAGACCAAGTGCCCTCAGCTGCTCCTTGTGTGGCTTCCCCTCCAGGCCCTTCACCATCTCCAAAACCCTACTTTGGAAACTCTCAAACAGCTCTAGATCTTTCTTATATTGTGGCACCCAAAACCACACACAATATTCAAGCTGTGGCCGCCCCCCCCCCAGAGCAGAGTGGGACAATCCCCTCCCTGGCCTGGCCGGTGATGCTGGGCCTGGTGCCCCAGGACAGGGCTGTCCCTCCTGGCTGCCAGGGCACTGCTGGCCCATGCCCAACTGGCCATTAACCCCCAGCTCTCTTTCCACAACACTGCTCTCCAGTCTTTCATTCCCAGTGTGTCTGTACTTCCAGGGCTGACCCATCCCAGGTGCAGAATTCAGCCCTTGCCTTTGTTAACTTCACACCACTGGTGATTGTCCAGCCCTGTCATTTGTCCAGGCCTCTGTGCAGGGCCTCTTCACCCTAGAGGGAGTCAACAGCTCCACAGCTCCTCCCAGTTTTTATCATCTGCAAGCTTACTTAGTATCCCTTGCTGTCCTGTATTCAAGCTCTTTACGAGGATTTTTAAGACAATGGGGCCTAAGACAGTGCCCTGTGGTACCCCACAAGTGACAGGCTGCCAGTCTGCTGTCACCCAGGCACTGTCATTCTTTGTGCTTGACCCGTGAGCAAGTTGCTCATCCATCACACAATGTGTTTATCCAGCTGTGGACTGCACACTGAGATTATATCCAAAGCTTTACTGAAATCCAAAAAGATTACATCTATTGATGTTTTTTTTATTAACTGGGTGGGTGTGGCAGTGGGGATTTGAAGATATTTGATCTCTCCCTGCCTACAGCAGTGGGGGTTTGAAGAATTTGTTTAGTCTCTGTATAAAGTTGTTTACCCCCTGTCTCACCATGGCAGTTATCATAATTCCAGATTTTCCCGTCTATCCTCAAAAATCCTACCCCTGTGGATTGTCTGTCATGATTTGTTACACCCCTTTATCCAGAGAACTTGCTGTCAGTTATGATTTTTCCTTTCTGCCATTGGTATCTGATTTTCCTGCTCCAAGTTACGTTTACGTTTGTAACCCCAGACCCCTCCTAACTAGCCAGATGGTCTCCTCCTGGGATTCCACCTCCCCCCATAAAAGCCACTGCTTTTCTCTGTTTCATGGTCTTTTGCCACTGTCCCCCTTTGAGCCACAGCGCTCCCACGTCTTGCCTGCTCCTGCATGGCGCTGCAGCCCTGGCGCTGCGCCTGTTGAGGGAAAGAATAAAGGCAGCTTGGAGAAACAAGCAAAAAGCCCTTCCTTCTTCCTTTGCCTCGATCCTTAGACATGGGTCCACATTTATCGGCTGCTTGTGGCGATCCGGGATCCCAGCCAGTGGCCGAACTGCAATCCTGCCTGCCAGCAGCTGAGTTGGGACGTGGTCCCTCCTGGTGCACATGCTGAAAGCGAAGGGGGATCAGAGCGCATGGGTGACCGGTGCCACGGCTTCTTCTGTGATTTGGATGCAATGTCAGATGGGTTACCTTAGCATAAAAGGAAATTAATTTTGAAAAGCAGGACTTTCCTCTCATGGAGATGTGCTGGCTGTGACCAATGACTGTGTGACCAACATCCTTCAGGTGTTTTTCACTACCTCCCAGAATAATCATCGTCATCTCCTTAATTTTACCAGGCACTGGAGTTAGATTGACAGGCCTGTAGCTTCCAGGGTCATCCTTCTTGCCCTCTTTGAAAACTGGGACCTCTCCAGATTCTGAAGACTGTTCAAAAATTATCAAAAGACGCCTCATGATGATATCAGCCAGCTCTTTATGTATTCTCCCATTAATCCCTTCATACCCCATAGACCTACAGGGATCCATCTGTAGCAGCAGATCCCTCACACCTTCAGGGTTAACTCAGTGTTTATCATTCTCATAGTCACAGTCCTCTAGCTGAGGGTGCTGGGACCTCCTTAGTCCATCATCCATGTTCAAGACAGAGGCAAAGAAAGCATTAAACATCTCTACCTTATCCAGGGCGCTATTTGTGAGGTGACCATCCTCATCCTGTAATGGGCTGATGTCATTTCAGCACTGCCTTTTGCCATTAATGTATTTTTAAACCCTCTTTTTATTGTCCCCCACATTTCTGGTGGCTACAACTGCAGTGGAGCTTTGGCCAAACAAGTTCTCCCCCAACAGCAGAAAGCAGCATCTCCATATTCCTTCCACATCACCTGACCTTGCCTCCACTGGGCATACCCCTTCCTTTTTTACCTTATCTCCAAAAGAAGATTCCTGTTCAGCCAAAGTGGCCTTCTGCCTCATCTGCTTGATTTCCAATTTTTAGGAATTACCTGTTCTTGTGCCCTCAGGAGCTGGTGCCTAAAATGTGACCACAGCACTGATGGACCCCAGGACCTTCAGAAGCATTTTCCCAGGTGTGTTGGTTCTCAAATCAATTCTTAAATCTCAAAATCTCAAATTTTGAGAAAAAAACGCTCAATTTTTTTCCTCAAAATCTCAAATTCAAGATCCCAAAAATCTCAAATTGATGAACCAAAACCACTACAACAGGGGACTTTACTCACTGGTTCCCTGAGCAGCCTGAAGTCACTTCTTCCCGTGTCCAGGGTTGAAGTTTTTTTGGCACTCTTCCTCCTGTCACCAGAGATTTTAAACTCAATGGTTTCATGGTCACTGTGGCCAAGACAGCCACCAATCTCTACTCAAGAGGTTCACAAGATCCTCTCTGTTGACAAGCAACAAATCAAGGAGGGAGGGAATCTTTCCAAGCCAGCCCTCTTAGTACCTGTAGCATGAAGCTGTCATCCAGGTGTTTCAGGAATACATAGGGAGTATATGAAAATTTTGTCAAAGAAACAGAAAATATTTTAAGGCCTGCTGTGCACATATGGACACATATGACCACATCTCCCCACCTAAATGTGTTCTCTGTGTGTCCAAGTCATTGTATTGTAAATAATGCATTTTAACCTCTTATGGAATGAGAAGAGGAGACTAAAACATCCTGGAGTTCTGCCTGTGCCAAATCAGAGTTTCTGTCTGGAAGGTAAAGTGTAAGCAAAGTGTGGTCATTGCTTTTTTAGATATGCAGTGACTAAAAAATAAGAGAAATATTAAGTCTAATATAGATTTTAACCTTTTCTTAAATGCCATTATTTGCTGAAAATTACAGTGCTATCATGCATAAGGGAAGACTGATCTAATTTAGATGTAAATTTAATGTGAGCAGGAGTATGTTTAATAGTTTCTCAGACAGTGTCACAGCACACTACTTATTAAACACTCCATTGCAGACCGAAAGAGACTGAGTCACTTGAAATTAGTTGTATAAAACAACATATTAACTTTGCTGTCTGGTCCTGTCCACCTCCCATCTATTCCTCCTCTCTCCACCACTCCTCCTTTCCCTTGATTTAAAAAACAAAGTTTCCTGCTCACTCCACTAATCTTCACAAGTGGTGCTGAGAAGTCCTGGATATGCTGTTCCAATATGTGGAACAACTGAGCAGTACTGGATATGCTGTTCCAATATGTGGTACAACTGAGCAGTACTGGATATGCTGTTCCAATGTGGTGCCCGTGGCACTAGACAACCATTTGTAGCTTGTACTCATCTATCTTCACTGTTTCATGTGTGACTCTTTCTTCAGACAGCAGGAAAATGACTGTGTAAAGGGCAAATTCAAACTCCAGGCTGACACAAATAAAGGTGCTTCTGACTGGCTTGACTGAACCCTTCCAGCTGAACTGGATGCTCAAAACTTGGTCATCTCTATCAGGCTGAAAGCACAAATGAAACAACAGAATAATCTCCAACACAGCTGTGACTGGACAGATAGAATTTCTGATTCCAGATTTTTGAGAGCTTTGTAAGATTTAGTCATCCTTGGTGTGCCTGGGTGCTATAGCTGGGCACTATCTTTTCCCTGACCTCTGGAGCATACATGACCATTTATCCCAACTAAGTCTCAGCAGTGTTGCAATTCTGTAAACACCAGCACTACTTTTTAAAATAGTTTTTGCAAAAAAAGAAACTGGAAGACATGCCATTATTCATTCTTCTTATATACAGTTATGTACTGTATATACTTATTGCTGTTCAAAACACTGAGCCTATGATTGCACTATTACACTTCTTTCATTGCAACTTTTATCTCTGGATCCATTTGTTTTACTTGCAAATGTTCCCAAAGGCTTGTTCTTACCCTGGTTTTGTTCTTCTGAGATACGTATCCCTTGTAGTCAATCTGATTGCGCTTTTCCTGAAGGTAAAATTGCACCCAGTTGTGCAAACTTAAGATCTCTTTACCATGCCTTGTTTCTCCAACAAAAACATGTTCAAAACCACAAGAATCAGGTATGTAACGAAGAAGAAAAGAAAAAAAAAGAATATATAGGTATTTTATATGTTTTATAGAGCCATAGAATGGTTTGGTTTGGAAGGGATGTTAAAGCCCATCTCATTCCAACCCCCTGCCATGGGCAGAGACACCTTCCACTATCCCAGGTTGCTCCAAGCTCCATCCAGCCTGACCTTGAACATGTCCAGGGATGGGGCAGCCACAGCTTCTCTGGGCAACCTGTGCCAGGGCGTCACCACCCTCACAGGGAAGATTTTCTTCCTCATATCCAATCTAAACCCACTCTCCCATCATTCTGAAGCTATTCTGAAGCAGTCTTCCAGCAGCACAGAGATTATCAGTGCCCACACCCATCAAACATACCTGTCTCCTCCTTTCCTGGCATAGAGCTGGAACCAGATGTCATAAAGCTGATGTTTGAAACCTGTGCCAGGGCCTCACCACCCTCACAGGGAAGATTTTCTTCCTCATATCCAATCTAAACCCACTCTCCATCATTCTGAAGCTATTCTGAAGCAGTCTTCCAGCTCTATATGCAGCAGAGGGCACTCAGGCTTACATTTACCTAAATCAGAATAGCACAGAGATTATCAGTGCCCACACCCATCAAACATACCTGTCTCCTCCTTTCCTGGCATAGAGCTGGAACCAGATGTCATAAAGCTGATGTTTGAAATCAGCAAGGTTTGGCCTTGCTAGGTTTTTTTTCAGCAGATGATCATGAGCTAGCTGAAGGGTAGAAAACCAAGATATATATACAGTTTACTTTTTAAATCAGTGTTTTCAGTGACAAAAAAGATCTGTGTTACTCACTCTCATGACTTCTGTTGCTAAGATAGCATCAAGGAAACAATTGTTTTCAACTATTTCTTCTGGAGTCACTACTTCTGCTACACCAGTTGATGCCTCATAGTTGTTCAATAAGGAAATAAAGGCTGCAGAAAAAGAGAAATTTTCAGTCTGGTCATATGCCTGATCCAGATATTAGAATGCCACCATAAAAAGTCACCATAGAGTATGCCTTGACAGCCCTTAGAGAAAGCCATTCCTTTATGTATCAGATTCTACTCTCAGGTATACTGTTAAGTGTAGGCCTCAAGGTGACACAAGGCCAGATCACTGCTGTACTTTTTATAGTCCTTTTTAAAGATAAACAGCTACTGAGCTTCCTTATGGAGCTAAGTGCTGAAGTAATAATGATCTTCTACCAAAACAAATCACATCTGCCCACCACAATTATAGACAGAAGCTTAGGACCTTTAGCTATGCTGGCACAAGGTTTTGTGGGCATTATTTCAGTAGAGGAATAATAGAGCATAAACCTATATCAGATGTCTTGAGCTTGAGAAAAATTAGGAAAGGAAACATACATTCACAGACATGGCTGAAGTATAGCCCCCAACAGAAATGCAAGACCTAGCTGTGGGTCTGGTACTTTCTGAAAGGGCTTGAAAGTTGTGAGTAAAGGAGCAAAGATGAATCTGGTGTCTTTTTCAATGCATAGAATCATAGAATGGTTTGGATTGGAAGAGACCTTAAAGATCATCCAGTTCAAACTCCCTGTCATGGTCAGGGACACCGTCCACTATCCCATGTTGCTAAGAGCCCCATCCAGCCTGGCCTTGGACACTGCCAGGGCTGGGGCAGCCACAGCTTCTCTGAACAAACTATTCACCATTGTCCAAACTGCCCTCATAGAGAAGAATTTGTTTCTTTTCTCTGTCAGTGTGAAGCCATTCCCTCTCATGCTGCTACTCCAGGCCTTTGTCAAGAGTCTCTCTCCATCTTTCCTGTGGGTTCCCTTCAGGCACTGAAAGGCCACAATGAGGTCACCCCAAAGCCTTCCCTTCTCCAGGCTGAACAATCCCACTTCCCTCAGCCTTTCCTCCCAGCAGAGCTGCTCCATCCCTCTGATCCCCTTGGTGTCCCTGCTCTGGCCTGGCTCCAGCAGCTCCCTGTCCTTCCTGTGCTGGCCCCAGGGCTGGATGCAGCCCTGCAGGGGGCACTCAGCAGAGTGGGGCAGAGAGGCAGAATCCCCCCTGCCCTGCTGCCCTGGGGCTCTGGGTACAGCCCAGCACAGGGGGGTTCTGGGTTGGGGCAGGGCCAGCTCTCACCCACAGCACCCCCAAGTCCTTCTGCCAGGGCTGCTCCATCTGCTCGTCCCAGCCTGGATTCATGCCAGGGGCTGTTCTGATGCAGGTGCAGCACCAACACTTGGTCTTGTTGAACCCTGTGAGATTCCCTTGGGCCACTTCTCCAGCTGGTAAGTGCCATCCCTTTTACTTTGTAGTGGAAGAGACAGATAATTCAGATTTTGCCTGGAGCACAAAAGGATGTTCCTCCTGAGGCTCACGTACAGGTAATCTCCAAGCAACTGTTACAAAAACTCCCTTCAAATCACCTGCAGTCTGATGATCCTCACCACCATCCAAATTATATACAATGTTACATTTTAGGCAAACATGTCAAAACCACAGATTTTTTTAATATTACATCTACCATTAACAGAAGAACGGGTCTCACTTTCAAAAGTATTTATGCTCCTCAGGCTTTGCTTACATTGTGAAACAGATGTCTGGCTGCATTGTCCTGGACAGCGCTGTCACTTTGCTGTGCTGGACCTGCTTTTCCCTAGCAAAAATGGAGGAAAACAAGGAGTAAGATGTCCTTAGAGGAGACAGTGCCTGCCTTTGTGATAATCAAACCAAACCCCATAATGCTACCAGGATTCTTTGCTAGGAATTGTCTTCCTATGAAATGAGAGACAATATTACAGAACTGCCAGCATAAAGAAAAAAGGCAAACTCTGTTCCCTCAGAGATTATTGTAATGGCCCATGTGATAATTCAGTTCTGCTCAGTAACCAGCTGTGCTATTATACTATGTAAATCACAAATGGTAAACAGAAGTAATGTAAAGCAAGGGCTCCCTCCCACCACAAATAAATAAAAAGGAGATTTGGGTACCTTCTGTCTCTGCAATTTTAAGGAGGCTTTCCTGATAATTTTCAAATTTCTATTTCATAAAGGGCATTCTCAAGGAAAGAAGATAGAAGATGAGTAGCAGCTTGTTAACATGGGCAAGAGGTACCTAGAGCCTTGTTCTGACAAATAGAGAAACCATATGGGAGAAGTTTTGCCCACACACATTTTGGCTTGAGGTAGGTACCGCTATTTCCAGTTTATCAGCAACAGGAAATTATCTGCTATAATATGAACCAGCATTGGAATAAAGTGTTTGAGTAACATCAGAATAAAGTGAGTTCTTGTGTGAGTACAAAACTGGATTGTGAATATTCTGGCCAATTTTGTGGCCAAAACACATGGTCATGTTTTTACTGCACTGAGCTAGCAAGGACTGAAATGGCTTCTTATGAAATCTCTCACTCCTCCCTCACATTTCCCTGGGACTGGAAGCAAGTCCTGAAATCTTCACCCACCCTCCTCTGCTACTCCCTGCTCTCCCAAAGAAACCCAGGAATTTCTCAAATTCCCCCCTTATTCCCCTAAGAATGACTTGGGACCTATCTCCCTTTCTCCCTTGCTGCAAGTCACCCAGACCATACCACAAGCTGTCATTCACACACTGAAACACATGGGGGGGGGCAGAACATTTGTAGTGCTGCTCAAAGTGTGGTTAACACTGAATTCAGACTGTTTCTCAGGGTGTCATCTTTTGGGGTCTTGAAAATCTCCAGAGATGGAGATTTCACAGCTTCTCTGGGTATCCTGTTCCTTTGTCTTTGTTGAATTTCATGTTCCTTCCTTAGCATATTCCTCCAGCCTGCCTGTGTCCAGTGGAAGAGAAGCCCTGCATCTGAGCATACCAACTTCATCACCACAGTTTGCTGTCATCTGCAAAACTGGAAGGGTTGCATGCTAGTTCCTCCTCCAGCTCACAGAAAGAGAGATGAAATATTACAGGACCCAAGACAGACACCTGAGAGACACCACTTGTAACCAAAGTCCAGGTAAGTATGAACCATTTGTGTTCTCTGTACTATTCCCTCTCCTAAAAGGGATGCTTTCCCCATTGGACATGACAAAGCACAGGCAACTTTTTAAGCAAAAGGCACTTTTGCAGGCACCTTTTCCTGCAGCACCACACTACCCTTAATCCTGACTTGGCAATTGGTTACCTGCACATCAGTTGTGTAGTCTTTCCCAGGCCTAAGGTGGTGAACATCTGCATCCCACATCTCATTGAAAAACTTAGAAAGTTCACGATTTAAGGCCTTCCTGACAAGAAATATAGAGGAATACATGTAAGGCACAAAACAAGTACATGCTGTTATTTCTGCGTCACTCCTAGAGTCTTCTAATGACTCTCCATGTTCTGGATATCAGCCTGGCATCAAATTTCTCTTTCTCTCCACACCTTCCTGTCAGTGCCGCTGTAAAAACCACATTATTTATGGTCCACATTCCTTTTTAAAGAATGCAGGTAACCTGTAGGGAAACCCAAGTCTTCCCTTAGATTGTCAGACAACAAAGTTCTTGTTGGTAAGTTCCTGTGGTTTTCCATGCAATGAAATAAAAAGGAAGATGGTGGTGTTTCATTCTCAAGGATTCTGTGCACAAATCAGAGGCAAGCGGGAGATTGTTCCCAGAATGCAGCAACACTGCAACAGAACAGGAAGGAAAAAATTCTCTCTATGATGCTTCTCTTGCAGCAATCTTATAAACTCTTCCCTTCTTCCTTCAAGCAAGATTCCACACAGAATATTTTCCTTTGCCATGGAAAGGATTATTCCAGCATAAAGGTAATGGTGACAAAGGGTAAGTAAGGCTCTGCATACAATAATAATCCCTCAAGCACTGATCTCTGATGCACATACCTATGCAAGTTTCTCCTTCCCTAATTTTTAATGGAGTTTTGCCCTGCATAATAGTGTACAGTTTTCAGAAGTTTGTCTATTCATCAACAAAATTAAGGTAGGGTTGTGTGTTGGTTTTGCATGGCCTGGTTTTTGGTAGCTGGGGGGGCAGAGATGTGACTTCTGTGAGAAGCTGCTGGGATCTTCCACTGTGTCCAGCAGAGCCAATTCCTGGTGACTCTGAAGATGGACATGCTGCTGGCCAAGGCTGGGCCATTCGGAGGTGATGGTAAGGCCTCTGTGATAACAGATTTAAGAAGAAAATCAACATAAATTTGGCACAGTTCTCCTCCTAGCCAAAGAAGAGGAGCAAGAGAGAATATGTGAGGGAAACAACATGGTGACACCAAGGTCAGTGCAGAAGCCGGGGAGGAGGTGCTCCAGGCACCAGAGCCGAGATTCCTCTGCAGGCCGTGGTGAGATCATGGTGAAGCAGCTGTGCCCCTGCAGTGCATGGGGATCCACAGGGATGCAGAGATTCACCCACAGCCTGTGGGGGAGGTGCCCACACTGAAGCTGGTGGATGCCTGGAGGAGGCTGTGATTCAATGGAAGACCCACTGGAGACAGGGAGCCCTTGCTCCTAAGCTGGAACAGCCTGTCCTTGGAGGAGTGCACCCCATGGAAAGAGAGACTCATAGTGCAGCAGTTTTGGGAGGACTGCTGCTGGTGAGATTGTAGACCCACACTGGAGAAGTTCACCGAGAACTGTCTCCCACGGGAAGGAACCCCACAGTCTCACAGGGGAAGGACTCCTCTTCCTGAGCAGCAGATCTTGGGTGATGAACTGTTGCCAGGATTTTTAGTGAAAAAGCCTCTGCTAGGATTTTTCCTGTCCTGAGGAGCTGAGGGCCTCAGGAAAGAAATGTAAACAATAACTATCTGCTGCTGTGGAGTGCCACAGGTGAATCTTCCATTGGTCCATGTGGATTGTTTTCAATCAGTGACCAATCACAGCCACCTGTGCCAAGGCTGTGAGCAGTCACAGGATTTTTGTTATTCATTCCTGTTCTATTCTTGTCTTTGTAGCCTTCTGATCTCTTTCTCTCTGTTCTTTTTAGTATAGTTGTAATGTAGTATTTTAGTATAATATATATCATAATAAATCAGCCTTCTGATCAACATGGAGTCAAGCCTCGTGTCCTCGCACCAGGGGGTGCAGTCAAAGCAAGAATGAACTAACCAAAAACCCCCATACCCTGTCTCCCTGCACTGTTGGTGGGAAGGAGGGAGGGGCTTGGGGGGAAAGTGTGTTTTAATGGCTTATTTTGCTTCTCATTATCTTCCTCTGACTCTGTTAGTAATAAATTCCCTTTGCACTTCTAAGTTGAGCCTGTTTTGGCCTTGGAGTGTTTTCTCATGGTCCTTTTCTCAGCTCATGAACCCTTTGTTCATTTTTTTTCTCTCCTCTGCCCAGCTGTGGTAGGAGAGGGTGAGGGAATGATTCTTGTGGGTGCCTGATATTTGGCCAGTGTCAAACCATGACAGGTGGTTATTGTGATGAAGTGCCCAGAGGTAGCTCCAGTTTCAAGTACATTATGTCCACACTAAGAGGGGATCAGGACAACAGAGTGAAGAAAAAGAGGGGTGGATTAATCTTTAATTAACTGACAGAATAAATCAGTTACAAACAAGCACATGCATCAAAGCCCAGAGAAGAACCGCTTGATAATTTTTTATTCTCCTCCAAAAGAGAGGTTTGCAAGAAAAGAAAGAAAGTACAGCAATCTGTCAACAATTAATATTTCTTTCAAAAAGCTGTTGGGGCAACCTGCCATGATTTTAATAACTGGTTTTCCCAGCCTGAACCAAGGCACGTTCAAGCCCAGCTCTGAACCTCTGATTAGTGTTACGTCTTCTCCTTCTGTTCTGCCCAGGATAGAGATAACTCGCTGCATCCTCCTGCCAGTGGCAAATTCCATGCTCTCTAGCAGGAAGAGCAAACAAAGATTGTGGCAAAGACACAAGGGCAGGGCAGATAACTGTAACTACGGCAGCTGCCATACCTCAGCCTGCTGCAGCTGTGGATCTGAGCCGCTGTGTTCCTGAGTGACACTGGAAGCACAGTCCATTTTTCCTCTGGTTCTCTGGTACTTTGGGATAGCTGTGGATGGGAAATCTAAAAGATCACTTGAATTATTAACTGGGCTTGAACACATGTCAATACCTGAAGAAAAGATTAAAAAATCTAGTGTGTAGGAGCCAAAGGACATGTTCGTTTCCAGGGTTAAACAGGAATGTGAAGGAAGATTTATGCTTGGAACAGGTACTTGTATGGATCTCACAGTGAAGAAGAAGGAGGCTGATACAGAGGAGCTTCATTCAGCCTTTACCCAAAACCCAGCCTCTGCTTGTACAGTAAGTGCGGCTTGTGGGGCATTGTCAGCATTGACTGGGCAGCCCAAAAGAGGCCTCTGTTCAATGTCCCTGGGAGCTGCCTCAGCAGCAGTTTTATTTCCTGCCGGCCATGCTTCCATATTCTTTCTGGAGTCTTACAAAGAGCAAGCCCTTCTTGAAAGAGCCTACAAACCAACACCAAACAGAAGACTGTTCACTTCAGCAGCTCAGATGAAAGCCCAAGGACAGGACTGGTGAACTCATAAAACAGTACTGGAGATGCTTTTCAAACTTCAAGCCTTTACCTTGGAGTGCCCTAATTTTATTGGATCACTTTTGTGCTGCATTCTGGACCCTCCTACAGTCTGCTCCTCTGTATCAGTTTATCCTGTTTGAGAACCATCACACTATATTTAATGGAGTTTTTACTTTGGAAGGAACTACTGCTGGTGAAGAGAAGTCTGCTGCCTGCTGAACATCCAGGTATGTGGAACATTACGGAGAGTGTGACTTGGGTTTTATTATAATATTTTGTTCCACAGGTACAGTATTTTATATATGTATCTTTTAGTATGTGTATATTTTGGTAACAGTCACCTATCATGGACAGATCTATCATCTCTTTAATACCCACTTGCTCTCAGTCTGCTCTTAGCAGATTTGTCTTGTGTTTATAAAGCACAGTTTGACCTTTCCTCCTTTAGAAATATTATGAAATATCACATGAGCTCAAGGTGTCTACTCAGGAGAGGTTTACAATAGGAGTATACCTACAGATTTCAAAACTTATTTTTGTTCAATAAATATACTTCTACTAAACATATTTCTCCATTCAGGAAACTTGTCCCAAAACTGAAATAACTGAATTTTACCAAGTAAAAGCCTTTACTGTCCTTTATCTCTGCTAGGTTCTACCACAATATCATCATGGGCTTTTCCTCTCCTTTTTGTTGTCCCTTTAGTTTCCAAACAAAGAGAGCAGTTGTTAATGCTGTAACTGAAGACTAAAAAATATATATCCTTGCCAAAGCAAGAAACTTGTCAAGTAATTTATACAGTCATCTTACAAAAACTCTTTCTGGATGGTATCTCTTTAAAAAGGGACATAAACTTAGCTTACACAGGCAAAGTGAGACAACTTAAATGAGAAGATGCCCAACACCTTCATGCAAATCCATGACATACCAGCATGTAGGTAAGGTTGTCCTGGAAAATGGTATTGTGTATTTTTTCCCTGGTTTTCAACATAATGGCATGGGTGACTCAAAGCAGAGATTTTTATAATCAATTCTCAATCCCTTCCCTGTGTGGAAGCTCTGCATTGTTAGATTTATGCTTTCACATAGAATTAATTATGTCTGTGCGAGAAGTCTGGCAATTGGATTTTGTTCAGTTCAAGCCTTGCTTGGATGTCCTTATGTGAGCAAAGCACCACTCCAGTAACAACACTCAGTCTGCACTTTTAAGAGCTGAGAAAACCTGGGGGAGGCTCTTTGCAATAGCAATTGATGCACCAGCAGTGTGTTTAAAGCCAAAGAATTTAACATCTCCATTTCATTCTACCCAAAACAATGCTCCAAGAAGAAGCCTTTATTGCTATAAATCAGAAATTATTGAAGACATGGAAAAAATTAAAGGTCAGTGGCAAATAATGCGGCAAATAAGTCAACAGTGTTAGAGCAAGAACAGGTATTTCAAATGGGTCACATGAAGCCTGCAGGCCTGATTGAAAGGTCTAACTGAACACTTTCTGCAAAGTAAATTTACTTTTAGAGATCATCCTTTCAATGCAATTTTATACAGCCTTTAACCTTTACATAGAGAAGAAAAGGATTTGGAATACCTGATGAGCAGCCATTTACAAGAAGTTTCCAATAATTTAAAAAACTTGGTTCAAGTGTTGTGAAATACATGCAACAGCTTTTATGGCTAACAGAAGATAGAAACAATTCTCTAGATTTTCATCTTATGCCAGTGTCTATGTCTTCTATTTGAGTCCAGTGGTTTTTTTTTTTCATGTAAAGCTGGTATTTATATTTGGTACATTAAAATACCAAAAGATACATAAGGCAGGTTATGTATGTGGAAAGGAAAAGGCAATGACAATGGGCAAACATGAGAGTGGAACAATCTGTCAAGGTCCTGGGCAGGCAGCTGATGTTTGAAGAACTCATTCTGAGTTACCAGCTATATTGAAGCACAATCTGATTTTAGCATCACCTTCATTTTAAGCTAGTGGTTCAGTAGCATCACCAATGTTTTTCATTGCAGTGAGTCAGTAAAACAGAACAGAAAGAGGAAGAGGGTTCTTGCTGTGCTGCATGTCATGTAATATTCACCCTTTTACAGAAAAATATATCCCACCTCCCCTACCCTGCCTGTTAGAAGAGAATTAGTATGATTGTCTCTTACCCACTTGCCATGCTGGGAAGAAGTTTTTCTCTTGGGAAATACTCTGAGCAGGGAGAAGGCAGCCAGAAGCTCAGCAATCCTCCTGCAGTCCAAGGCACGAGATGTGCTCTCCTTCCACTCCTCTTGCCTGCTGAGGACTGTCATTCAGCCTGGCAGGAAGGCACAGGAGAGGCAGGAGGTGCCAATT